GGAGAATGGGTAGGAAAGAGGGAACCGATTACATGGAACTGTGTGTGACCTCCTCCCTGGGGGACAGACAACCGAAAAGTGGGTGAAGGGAGAAGACGGACAGGGCAAGATATGACAAAATACTAATTTATAAATTATCAAGGGCTCATGAGGGAGGGGGGAGCGGGGAGGGAGATGGGTGAAAGGGAAGATAATATACAAGAGGGAGATGGGAGGAAAAAAAGGGAAGGGAGGGAGGGGACAAAATGAGGAGCTGATATGCCAGGGCTTAAGTGGAGAGGAAATGTTTTGAGAATGAATGTACAAATGTGCTTTACACAACTGATGTATGTATGGATTGTGATAAGAGTTGTATGAGCCCGAATAAAACGATTAAAAATAAATAAAACTTCACTGAGTTGTGGTGATGACGCATGTAACTTTCTGTGCTTTTCAACAAAAAGTTTTGTTGGCCAGATTTGAGTACTAGGATTACAGGTGACTGTTTTTCTATTTTTTTTTTTTCAATTTCCATAATGATAGAAAAAGAAATTCCATAATGGAATGTCTTCTCCCCCTTACTATTACGGAGAGAAAAAAATATGGACCTCTCTACTTCCACAGACAACCTGAAGTACCAGCAGAAGGTGTTTAAAACTTCAAACAAGAAACCACACATGCACACAGTGGCTTCTGGACTCCATTTCCAAGTGTACTTTGTCTACACGACGGGCAGAATTGGGCCAGGGCCTCTCAGGAATTGGGAGGTGGAACAACCAGAGGGAGGTGGGAAGGAGCTGGCCCGAAAGAGGAGGCCTGAAAACAGCAACAAGAAGATTTGCTGAGACTGCACCAGTCACCTCCTCTAGGATTCTGTGGCTTCGGGACAAGTTGGCACGGGGCCTTTCGTAAAGGATCATAGCTCCTAGCAACCCACGTCAACAGGAAGCCAATTTTCATAGCAACGTACCTTTACACTTTGAAACTACATTCTCTCACTTTTACAAAATGCATGCTTGCTATAAAGGCATTCAAACTCCGTACAAAATAAAAACAGTATAAAGCCTCCCCCCACATCCCACAGCTCAGAGGTAATCACTGCTTACCACTTTGAGTATATCCTTCCAGAAAATGTTATGCACACTTAACAACAGATATATTAATGTCTTTTTTCTTTCCTCTCCCCTGAAAATAGGGTCAAATGACTCTGTGCAATAGGCTAGCGGGTGGACAGGTGTTAACTTGGGTGAAAGGGAAGATAATATACAAGAGGGAGATGGGAGGAAAAAAAGGGAAGAAACAGATAAGTTTCAAATGGTGAATGCAAAAAAAGAAGAAAATGACCTGATATGTAAACCCACACCTAATTAAAAAAAGAAAACTGTGGTACTGTGCTTTATCATCTAGAAATAGCTACACCTCAACCTTTGTTAACAACAGCAAGGTATTCCATTGTATGGATATTTATCCTAATTTAACCAGTACCCTCCAGACAGCTTGCAGCCAATTTTCTCTCACTACAAGCAATGTCCCAGCAAACATCTGTACACACCCCTGTATCCTCTGTGACTTTTGTAAGCTCAATTCTTGGAAGCAAAAGAGCAGAATCAATGTTTGGCTAAAGGCAGTCTGAGCACCCACCAGCAAGACTGGACCGATGCACAGACCTGCCACAGGGACTGCAAAGGTTTGCTGATCTTCTACTCGTGTCCCCATACAAGTCCTTGGGAATCTTTGTCCCATTCAATGAAATGAGGGCTCATTTTAGCTTTTAAGACATATGGCTTAAAACACAGTTAACTAGAGATTAACCTGCAAATGCTATGGTAGCCTCTATGGAAAATTATCCTGCCATAATAACTGTGGTGGGACCAGAGACAAGCTCCTGGTTTGGGATGTTTGGGGTATTTGCAATGCTTCGGGTCTTTTGTCATGAGCGACCACAATGACTATAATTGAACGTCACCACAGGAAGCACAAACACGGGGCTCAAGTAGAAAGAAAATGTTTTGAGCATGATGATGGCAACCTATGTACAAATGTGTTTGACACGATGGATGGATGTATCGATTGTAATAAGAGCTGTAAGAGGGCCCAATAAAATGATTTTTTTTAAAAGAAAGCACAAAGATGGAGAGTGGAACAGCCGATTTTTTTTTAATAAATGGTAATTATACTTTAAAATATATCTATGGCTTTCACGAACATTTTACTGATTATTAGTGAGGGTCACATAGTAGAAGTACAAGACAGCACCTTCATTTCAATCTTCCTTACATTTTAAATATATATGAATGTGTGTGTATGTGTGTGTGTGTGTGTGTGTGTGTGTGTGTGTGTAAAATGCCAGAATTTTTGCCATTTATTCCCTCAATACCCCACACTACCTTACTTGCCTCTTTAAAGCTAAATTGGTGAAAACTAAACTGTGAGGTTATAACGATAAACGTAAGAAGAATTCCTTTTCTTTTGATTTCTAATTTTAAAAGAAAAAGAAAAACTGAATCTTTCAAAATAGTCCAATGGTTGTCATCTTAAGGCAGGCCCCAGTCCTTTGTCTCAAGAATGCACAGCTTTGGCTTCACCTAATTCACAATAAAATGTTTAAACGAAGGGGAAAAAAAAAAAAAAGAAGAAACTCTTTGTATAAAACATGGCCCCAAACTCTTAGCTTTGTCTTATGATGCGATTTACTATTGCACTTGATTAGAATGTCAGCACAATGAAGGCAGGTCGGCCTGGCTCAAGCAGGACCTCCAGCCCCAGCCTTGCCTGGCATGTAGGAGGCACTCAATAACTGTGTGCTACGGCGATGAAGATGGCTGGCTGTATGGGAAGGTAAGCCATACTGAGGTGTGGCTGGGAAAAAACCCTGAATAGTTGTGGTGGCATATATGGAACGTGTACATGGTCTCCTATGAGGACTTTGCACGCAGCAATGCTTCCTTGGCTAAGTACTTTCTGGAAATATATAGATATATTTCAATCATTCTTCAGATACTATTAACAATGACAGGGAAGGACATGTCATGCTCCTCACCTATAATCAGAGTGGCCAAGACTACACATCTCTGAGGTGAGATGCCTTTGAGCCCTCACCTCGCCTACTACCTCTGTGAGCCTTTGTTTCCACATTGGTAAAGTGAGCTGGCTGAGCCTACCCTAGCGCCGTCCATTGTGGAGGCTCAGAAAACAGGGCTCGGGTTCGGTGTTTAACGTGGTTTAAATGGGGCCTGATCAGAGGTCTAGAACAGCTACAGCTGACCCTGAATCCTACCGAGTTTGAGGCCTTTAGAATCTGACCAGTCCGAGAAGGAAAGCCTGAACAAGAGTGAGCCTACCTCCCACTTGTATCCCACATGCCGGGCAGGTGACTTTCCAGGGGGCATCCAAGGTACCTTGGTTTTCACCCGGACACTCCGCCGCACATTCACGGTGTCCCCTTTCATTCCGCGCTTATGAGATTTCTGTGGAAACGGACAAACCCAGGGTCACTTCCGGGCCCGGCTGGCCATGGCATCACTCTGCTGGCGTCCACCTCCAGCTCTGCAGGGGAGCCTCCTCTCTCTAAGGTTTCTGGAGGACCATTCGGCCTACCTTCTAAGTGGACAACTGATCACCAAACGACAGTGCACTCGTCTCCCAATCCTTGGCCATTAGGAGCTCGAGGAGGCTGAGCGAAGGGGCGATGCCCTCGCCCACAGCCGTGGCCTCGGCCCGGTGGCATGCGCCTACCTGGCTGCTGGTCGCTGATGGTTTCGGGAGTTTTTTTATGTGGACGTGGACAGGGGTGTTCTCATCCACGTGAACATGTAAGGGGGGAGTTGAAGAGCGGTCCTTCATGGTTCACTTCTGGCAGGCAGGGGAGGACAACATAAAAAAGGTTGATCTGTGGATGAGTAAACTGGGCATAAAAACCAGCTCCGTGAGGGGGCAGGGGGGCACACTGAAAGCCTAGCCACCAAGCGCCAGTAGAACTACAACAGCATGCAGGTGGAAACTGAGGCAGCAGTGCCATTCAGCAAGCTCCTGGAGAAACCCCAGCTCAGGCCGGCCGGGGAGATCAGGCCCATGCGAGCAAGAGGGCTGGGAGGACACGGGTTCTGCGGAAGAGCTCAGAACCGGGTCCCAGGACACCAGGGGCGGAATCGCCTCTCCGGCTTGCTGGGACGCAGAGCGCCTCCTGGGATTGAGGGCAGCACGGGCGGAAAGCAGATGCAACCTTCGACCCTAACTGACCCAAGCGTCAAGCATGCGGATTAGCGCGGCAAGCAAGTCAAATGGTTAGGACACAAAGCACCGCAGGCAGCAGGCAAGTCGGAGACCATGTCCACAAAGAGCTGGAGGCCACGCCAAGGATGAGAAGGCAAAGAAAAACCACCAGGGCAGAACCCCAACGACGCACCTGTCCCCCACGGCCAGTCAGGCCTCCAAGTTCCATCCTCTGTGGGTGCCCCTTCAACCCCACCCCTTTCTTGAGGGGCAGGGGAGGAAATGCATTTTAAAGGGCTTTTTTTTTTTTTTTTTTTTGGAATTTTCTGGAAGGATATGATTAAGACAACTTTCTCATCTCCTGGCAACCTCACTAAAGGCACAAAAAAAAAGTCGGCAGAATAAGCATGGCAGTACCTCGCAGGCCACCCGGGTAGTGAGAGGTGTCTGTCAGGGCACGGTAGCTTCTAGGAAAAAAATGGGGCAAAGCGTTTTTGGGTGGGGAGACAGACCAGAGAAGGGTGCTTCCGATGCACGTCACCTACCGTCACAGTTACACTGGGCGCTCCACAAGGTGTTCGCAAGACCTTTTTCTGCGTCAGACTCGTGACTCCGTTCTTCCCACACGTTGGAAACCTGCACCCAGGCACAAGAACCAGGTTAGAGGTAGAATACTATGGTTCTCCTACTGCTGCGACCTCCTGGTACTACACACTGCATTGAGTGGCTAACAAGTTCACAGCTAGGAGAACCAGTTGGGCATGACTCAGCTCCCTCCACACGAGCCACACATATACATGGTGTCCCCAACAGTGGGATGGTAAAAGGAGGTGTGATGGGCCTTGGGCCAGCTGGTCTTTTAACCTGCCATCGCATCACACACATTGTGACCTTTCACTGGGGAGTCTAGTTAGCATCCTGACAGGTGACCAAAAGGCGGGCAGCACATGAGCAGCGGCCAAGGTACTAGCTTGGCCGAGGATGAAATTCCGGAGCAGTGCCTGAAACAGAAGCAGCAGCCCAAGAGAATTGCTCAGGGAATGAGTGGTACAGGACAGGGAATGTTAAACTCTCTGAGACTAAAACTCAGGCAAGGAAGCCTAAGAACAGGAAAACACTGGCCCAGATGTCATTTGCTGCCTTTTACACTCCTGAGAATGAGGCTTCTTGGTTTGTCTTGTTTTATTGCTGTGATGTGTATCATTCACTTTGCTTCGTACAGACCCCAGCACCCGATTTGTAACTAACAGCAACAGTTTAATTTGCTCCAAACCTTTGGGCAGGAATACATTCAAGAATTCCATAACGGGGGAGTGGGTTTTCAAAGGATCGTTTCGGTCCATCCCACTGCCTCCTGAGAGCCTCAAAATACCACCTTGCCCCTCCCACAGGTGGTAGGGGGAAATAATACAACATTAAGACATGTGGACACTTTGTGCACTTTGCTGAGTATTTCACCCTGATCTTACAAAAGACACAAAATGTCACTGAGCCCTATTCATCAGTTAGCCAAGTATCAGCACACCAGAGCAGAGCCTCCCCCCACCACCACCACTGGTACCACTCGCTGAAGGTCACTAGACTTTGACAATCTCTCCCTCTTTGGGATACCCATCAAACCACCGTGATTCCATCAGCACCTTGCTCACTGTCAGATAGATCCACCTCCCACACCACGTGTTACTTATTAACACTTGGCTTCCTTTCCAAGAGAAGCTGAGCTTAGTAGTCCTCCGCTGAGACACATTTGTGCTCCTTGGGGACCTGTTTGCTACCAGGAAACTATGGTCCCTAGAAAGGGAAGGTGGGGAGGGGAGGCGGGAAGAAGGGGTCAGGGTGGGATTGTGTTTCCTTCCTTCCTTTTAGAAGTTATTACATGTTCTGGTCCATGATTTCTGGGCACAGAATGGGGAAGCTGAGAGAGAAGCCTCCAGGGGCCCCGCCTGAGGATTCCTGCCCGCCTCTCCTGCCCTCGGGGCAGCGGCGGCACCCCCCCACTGGCAGCGAAGTACCTGGGGGAGCCGCCTGAGGATGAGGCAGACATGGCTAGGCATCAAAGCGCAAAGGTGGGCAATTGGGTCAGCAGGCTCTGCTCAGGGGGAACCCAGAGGGGCTTGTCAATGAGAATTTCAGGGGCTCGGCATCAAACGTCCTCTTTGAGGGGAAGAGGGTGGAAGCTTTGGGGCAGGTGGATGAAAACGTGGGAGGCGCTCCTCCACTGTCCAAGTCGCACAGCAATTGTCCTGCCAAAGTGGGGAGGGGGCGGATAGGAGAGGCTGAACGACCTGCGGGGCGACGGGAGGGTCCAAGAGGTGAGTGGAAGTCACTCCCCTCTCTGGGGCGGGGTAAAAGGGGCAGCACGGAGATTAGAGGGCCCACCCCGCCCAGAACCCTCCCGGGAGGGAAGGTGGTGGGCTCCAAGGGGGAAAACCTGAGTTGCTGGTAAGCGTGCGTGCGTAGAGGGCAGGTGAGAACCAACAGGCCCCAAGTGGGCCCCAAGGGCCCGGAACCCAAGCAGCCGGCGGGAGGGATGTTCGGGGCGGGGCCAAGGCAACAGTCTCCTAGGAGAAGGGGCGTTCCCGGCAGAATAAATACCCCGAGCGGGCCAATCGTGTGCGGAAGAGGGAAATGGCCCCGGCCGGTGGGAGAGCCTGTGGGTGCCGCGAGTGGCGCTGCGGAGGGTGGGCGGTGCGTTCAGGAAGCGGGGCAGGGCGCCCAGGGGAGGCCCCGGGGCCGGGGAGCGCTCCAGCGGCCCCCGGGGGGACGAGTCAGTAACCGCTGCGCGATGATGAAAGCCGGCCCGAGGGGCGGCGGCGGCGGCGGACCAGGCGGGCCAAGGCC